CGGAGGGAGGAAACCGGAGAACCCGGAGAAAACCCTCGTAGCATAGGAGAGAACAACACATCAAACAAACTCAATTCACATGTGGCGACCGCAGGGCTCGAACCAGCGACCCGACCCGTTGGACTCACAGCGGTGAAAGACGACGCGTTAGCCGCGAACGCCACCCATGCTACCCTTAACTACATTTGTGCGTCTTCCTCCTTTTGTTTTAGTATCTAAAAGTATAACGTTTGTGTTAGCAGCTCCTGGCCGTTCAAATCTATGCAAGGCTCTGATGACGTATTCCAGAGTTAATAGAGGGGACTCCCCTCTATTAACTCTGCGTTGGAGGGTCCTGAAGGGGGTTCCTAATCCCATTTCCAAGTCCAACATTTACCCAAATCCCAGTTCAAATCCCTTTATTCTTAGCCCGAGTATGTTTTGCTAAAACCTTAATCCAACTCCCATTTTTGATGGTTTTTTGTTTATGAATCCCAGTGCATGATATTAAATTTTCCCAGCACCAAACAAGGAGAATACCAGCACTCATTTTACCCCTTCAGGACCCTCTAAGTACTAGCTCGGTTCAATCACAAAATGGGTTGGGGAATAAAATCAAACGAAGGTCGAAAACGTCTTAAAGAAATACAGAAAGACTATCTTATGGCCCAGTTTAACATTGGTGAGCAGACCGGGCATAAAGTTGATCCTGTAACGACATCAAAAAAGAAAAAAACTGTCATCGCTTATCACCACCGCAAGTACAGGAGTGGCGCAGCTCAACGGGGTCGAACTGAAAGCATTTTTGGCCTTCCTCAAAGTCCTTGAGGAAGGCCAAGAATTCTGATGGTGTCAGTTTTTTTAAGTCCTGATGGTTTCCTCACATCTAAACAAGTGGTATAAGGTTTTTTTTACGATTACCAAAGAAAAAGGTCGTCCCCGTCGAAATAGATGCACAAGAAGACGACAAGCTTCCAGAAAAGGCTCTGGACAAAATGAACAAGGAAGTACAGAATGCCCTATTAATACATCACACCATATTCTTGGATGTTTATAATGTGTGTGAGCTTGCTGTGCAGAACATGATGAAAAAATTCTCGAAACCCCTGTTACGAGAGATGTGAGCAACACGTGGACACCAGCAAAAAGGATAAGAAAAGAAAACAATCCTACATTGACGCCACTCGTCCGCACACATCTTTTCACAAGAAAAACAACCATTTCAACTAAAGCCGTTTTATAAGAAGAAATATTTATACCGACATTATTAGTTTTTGTTTCCTAAATTAAAACAATATATATGACGCGAGTATATATTGATTGGGATTCATGTGATAACTTACCGATACCGAAATCACTCGCGTAACTCAAGGGCGGATCCAACGGAGGGGTCCAGGGCTGCGGACCCCCCTTTACARCTCGTTATTTCCCTTTTTTTTTAAATACGACATATTACAGATAATTTTCTTTTGAAAGTCATAACTCTTATGTAGGTTTATAAATTGAAAGCCAAATCAAGTTGTTATGTTTGTGTTCTGAAAGATTACAACAAATATAGCGGTGTGTATGACCTCAAAAGTAACGTCACTGATTGAATGTAGTTTTTGGACCCCCCCCCCCCCTAAGAAATATCCTGGATCCGCCTTTGAAACTAGACAAATGTTACCTCAGGGATCACACACAATACGAGGGCGTATAACGCGAGCCGATCTATTATTTTTGATGCGTTCGTGAGAAGAGCAAAGTTTGCATTCCTATATTACATAAATTTGTTATGCATACAAGAGGGGGGTATTGTTTTGAAAGAAAGCATAGTTTAAGGGGCTTCGAAATTTAAGTTTAGTCCTTAAGTGGCTGGGCCTGTAAAAAAATAAGATTCTTGAGGAGAACTCTTCATCCCCAATGGTCATGGCCGCCAGTGGTCACGCAACGCTTTCGTGGTTTTGTCTAGATGGCCGTCACTACACCTAGAATTCATGATTTGTGAAGCGGTAGAGAGTAAATGCTGCTCTTTCTTCAGAAAAATCCCTCAAATTTGCTAAGTATTGATGTCTCAAACGG